CGCGCCCCGGCCCGAGAGAAACTGCACGCCCAGCCCGACCCGGTTCACTTTTCTTCCTTTTTGTGCACACACAAAACCGCACGCCCAGCCCGACCAGGTTCACTTTCCTTCCTTTTTGTGCGTGTGTGGGTGAGTCTTGAGAAGCAAGACTTGTAAACCCTAGTCAAATTAATCTCTCTTCTCTCTCTTAAAACGCACACCGCAACTCCTTCCTATCTCTCTTGATCTCTCGTCGCAAGAACAGATAAGAAAAACTCTCGCTCTCGATTTTCTCTCCCTCACGCAGCAGATATCTCGTCGTCTCTAGACCGTCGCCATCTCTCCCTCTCACTTTCTCCAATCACCGCCGACGAGGCAGGCCACCAGATTTTCCAGCGAGAAGAAGAGCGACGATCTCCACCGGGAACAATCCCTTCACGCCGCGACCAAGTCCGTCGTGACGCCGCTAATCACGACTCTCGCGTTCACTCAGCATCCCGATCGCAGCAACCAACTCCGTTACCTCCAGCAACCCGACGTGGACCCCTGTTCGCGAATTTCCGGCGAGCTCTCTTCCTCCCGCGAGCAGTCCACGAGCCGCCGCTGTTCCTTCTCCATGACCGCGGCACCAGCGGCGAGCCACCATCGACGCAGGCCTTCCTCGCCACAATAGCATTGCCGTCGAGGCCCTCTGTTCGCAGCTCCTCGTCGAGCCCTAGCCGCAGAAACGAGCCCTCCTCCGCGAGATGATGCATCCCCGACGAGCATTAGCCTCGTGTTCGCCTCTTCGTGTTCATTTCGTTTTCTGATTTTTTTCCCGAGAACGGTACCTCGTCGATCCCGTCTCGTTTAACTCGTATATGATTTATTTCGTTATGTGTATAATGTCGTGAAGTGCTCGTTGAACAATTTAATATATATATGAATTGCGAGACGTGAATATGCGCGATTATGTGTTTCGTTATGATTTTATGTGACGTATATGTATTCGGGACCTCTTCAATTTTTAAAGAATTGAACAAGACCCCGAAAGTCGTGTAAGTCGGTGGATGTTGGAACAATGCCGAGTCCTTGGTCTTATGAGAAGGCCTCGGACGAGAATTTTCGTGTTTCGGATTAATTGTCAAAATTGTCGAGCTTTATTGTCGCTGTTTTGGTATTTGAATTTTTAAAAATAGCTCGCTGCTCGAAACGACTTGAAATTTTTAGGGTGATGTTTTCTGTTCAAGACTAGCCTTGTGTAAAAATTTCGTGATTTTTAGAAGCCTGTAGCTGTTTTTAATAACTATAATGAAATCTGATCAGAGTACTGTTAATTGAATAATAAATTCATTCGTGAACCAAATGAGCTGATATTCAATTATTCCATGCCCCTGTGATGTTTATATCTTGTGTTAAATTTTTAGAATTTTTGGACTTGATTTGATATGGTTAATAAATTATTTATCGAATATGTTGAAAATTGTTTGAATTTTTATAAATCGGTTATTTGATGAAAAATTCTAAAATTTTACAGAGATGCCTAATTTATGTGTAGAATCATGCCGTTAAAAGATGGGAATTTTTTAAATCCATTTTGATTCGGTTTTGATTTAAATTTAATAAGCTGCTGAATCTCGTATGGATTTTTTAAAAATAGTAGCAGTTAATGTTAAGGGCTGAGATTTTTATACATGGACTTTAGCATGCTGTATGTTGTTGGGTTAAATTTGCAAGTCCTGATTCGATCATTAAGTTCAAGTATAAATTGATGTTCCCATTTTGTTGATATCTTGTTCGAATTTTATAAAATAGTGTATTTTGAGTTTGAAGCTGAAAATTTGTGGTTTTACATGTAGAAATTCAGAGATTGATTCATAGGGTAACCTGATCATCTATTTTTATGTGATTAATGATTATTATTTCCAAAATATACTTTTGGTATTTATATCGGTAATCGGCTTGCTTTTCGTTTTGATGTGAGTTTGACTTTGTCAATCCTTATATGGATTTATGTGATCTGGTGTATGTGGTTTGGTCAAGTTAAGAGCTGAGTCTTAGTGTTCCAACTCCACAGGACTTCACGAACTACTTAGTCGAAATATGTTCGACTAGGTCAGATTTGTGTTTTCCTTTTTAAGTCAAGATATTTATTGTAGGACTTTGACTTAATGTAGGTATTTGAGGAGTCAAGCCTCGACCCACGTCTTTTCTGATAATTGCTATCGTCCATCCGAATTTCTAGGTGGGTTGTTATTCTAAAATTACCTGTGCAATGTATGTTTAAATATGTTTTCTGATTTGGCGTGATCTATGTATGAACGTGAATATGTAGCCTATCGATGTGAGCTATTATGATGGCCATCGGTACGGTTGTCCCCGTCGATGTAATACGGTTGCCCTTGCGAGGCAAGTCTCCTTAAGACCTATTATGAAAGGCCGTGTCCTTGCGTGGCACGTACTCTCGCCGTTGGGGTAATGAATCCCCTTTCCGCGACTATTATGAAAGATGTGTACACAGGAGTATTTATGTTTATCTTGGAGATGTGACATATGTGATGTTGTTTATGTTCATGCTGCGACCATGCCTATTTAACATATTACTAAATGTGCATTGCATAGTGTGAGTGCGATATTTAACTGTACTCACTCCCACCTGCTCGTAACTGATGCAGGTTAAGCAGTGGCGCGTGGCGAGACAAGACGGCTGGTGGTCATTGCTTATTATGCTTATTTATTATGCTTATTTAATTGTTTCCGCTTATTCATGAACTATGTTGGTATTGAACTTGTTATGATTGGATTTGAAACTTGTTCATTCTGGAAAACGTTTTGATTTGGTTTATGTTAGTAAAACCCTTCTTGATATATGATTGAGAATATCCTGATGTTTATGTTTATGTTATGTGGTTAATGAAAACCGTTGGAAAATCGAGTAATGAATCCTCGTAGTTCAGTTATGACTTGAACTGTGTTTTGAAAAGAATGAGTAACGCCAAAAGTTTATGATTCGAAAAAATAAGTTTCGAAAATTTTACCTTGATTTTTGTAAAACCCATGGATTTTATTTAAAAATCGATTGGGGCGTTACAAACATACTTGCCTATATGATTTCTTTACTATCTCAAATAATGATCCGGATCAAAAGAATGAAAGTGCTAGAAGCGCTTAAGTTGATTGAGATAGAAAGAAAAAATTGAGGCAGAGCTTTCACTCGCTACACGATATATCCCAGGAGGATAGCATATCCCAGAAGGATAATGAATATTTATATGGAATATGTGATATGGTGGTATAATGTAAATATAGAGAGATTATGCTCATGGGTTTATGCAGAGACCCAAATTTATATTTAGATATGTTCTCTCATTATCAATGATTCCGCAAGTTAATATTTATGGCAGCAACATTACCATGACTATTGAGTCATATGTGAAAGTTCTAGATGGACTCGAGTACCCGAGATGAAAGATAATTAAATAATAAGTACTTTAATTATTTAAAGTTGTTGGTAAGATGTGGTACAACCAACTAAATTCTTCCTGAAGAAGTAAAGTAAGAATTTCAAGGTAGAACATTGTGTATAATGATAACATACAAAATGATAATCTCGGTCAAATAAATTATGTGGTGAACACTATGTAAAAGATTAAATAAGTTAGCTCATGCTTATAGATGGAGTTAGAATGAAACTCTTGGTTAAATACCAAAGAGTATTATCACGACTTGTAGATCGAACATCTCCTAGAAGGAGTATTTTTTACACAACCAATCTACTTGAATCTCTTTTAGAGATGTAAAATTATAACACCAATGAGTGTCAAATATTTAAAATTTGACAAATATTTATAAAGATCCAAAGAAACAAATGATGATATTATAAGACTTAAAGTTCCAATGGACTTGAAGTCCACAAACGACCTGAAGTTTATTTACTAAGCGTAATTGTGCTGAATTTTTATCACGCAAACTGCATCAGGCCTGATACTGCATTTGCGATGAATTTGCTAGCAAGATTAACTATTTCTCTTCTTAAGGAGATATCATGATAAATATTGAGAATATCCCATTGTGCATTCATGTATGTTGAGTTATCTTTGGACTTGATATATGATATTGGTGGATAAGGACATCAACTATATAATTGATCCCCCGAAGTACTGGGTTTTCGATTGGTTATATACCTCTCAAATGGTATTAACTCTTTACCATTGGTTATTGAAATTTTCCCATATTTTTATCTTGAAGATAAATTAGTTTGCGTTACACAAATAAATTATGGAAAATACATTTGATGCTATTTTTGAATCCATATTAACTCCGGAAGAGCAACAAATGATGATATTATGTAAATACTCTTACCTTGAGGGGGAGCAACAAACAATTATGAGTGTAAATAAAAGGTTTCCCTTCAGGGGGAGCGATAAATAAATCTCGAAGATCGAGCTCGGAAGGCTAATTATAATTCTGAAAATTAGGTTCTGTTGGTTGGTGCTGTACTCATTTTCCCTTCGCTAAATTTTTTCCCATTGAATTTTACTTCGTAAAGTTTTTAACGAGGCATCAAATGTAACACATAAATTTGCATATGTTATGTACTCTTTTCCTCGACTATTTTTTCCCACTGGGTTTGTAGCGAGGTTTTTAACGAATCATAGACATGATGCGGTAATGTCCAAGGGGGAGTGTTGTAAATATTAATTTGTGGACATTACCTAGATATAGGCTTTGTAAGTATGGACCAGGAGCCTATTAGGTCTTTAGTCATGTATATTGTATTCCCTTATATATAGGGCTCAAGTGAATGAATAAGATGATGATTTTAACGACGTATTTCTTCTCTCTTATTCTCTTCTATTGCTTTCTCTCTTTGTCTATCTTACATATCGATATTACATATTGACAATCTATATTACAAAGAGATAAGTTCCCAAGCATTCAATTCTCGTCTTAAACTCTTTTGCTGCATTCAATTCTCGTTTTTTGGCCCTTAAGCTTTTGTTAAACTACTTTATCGTAGACAATCAACAAATATACACCACGTTCATCATTCAAATTGGCCACAAAACCACCACTCTTAGTTATTAATCCACAACCATACACTACAAGTTGAAGGGTTCCCTTTGGACGAACAAAATCAAAACCGTCACTTTGCCAAGAGAAAGCAGTTGGTATCGTACAAAAGAATTACGAATGATAAACATATAATGCATAGAGAATTTTCACACTAGTAAATGACAATGATTCAATAATTGGGTTACTTTAATCCAACTCCAAATGAATATTAGAATTGCACAAACACAGACCACTGGTAAAAATAAGGACAGCAGATCTCAAACTGGAGGACCAAGTACTGATTCCGATATAAACATCCTTCTGGTCAAAGCATCAATTGTGCAGCTGATTTTTTCCCTCAAGCTGCATATTCTCAAGATGTCCAAAATTCTTGCACCAAGTGACCAATTACCAATGGTAGTGAGGTTCATAAATATATAATATCTAAGTTAGTCGTCATCTGATCTATGTGGAGATTCCCTCCGTATCAGTTGCATAAGGTCTTGCACCACTTCAGACATCGGTGGCCTAAATTCCGGATCAGCCTGCATGAGAAAAGATATTGCATGAGAATTTCTCAAGTGTAAAATTGATAAAACTGTAAACAGGCAACTAAAAACATGTGCAATTTTGAGAGCCATAATTCACACCTAGAATACCATTGGCACTCAATTTTCATCTTCACATTTTCATACCACTAAAACTCATGTTTTAGGATAAAAATACTGTTCTTGGTAAATAGGCACGTCTCCCAAAAAAGAAAAGGAAGAGTGCTTACTTATTTGCATCCACTTCTTAGAATAAACTTATGCTTTACGTTATTACACAATTGGTAACACTCGACTCCTTTGGCTTTCTGAGTTCGCGACTCACAGATTATAAGATTTACGGTTTAGAAGAAGCTTCACTTTAAGCTGCCTTTGGAACTTGACTCACAACTAGTCAGCAGAAAGCTGCAAATCTCGTATTGTAATTGGACAGACCAAAGTATTGCATCTACCTCAAATAAACTGCCTAAATATTATGTATGAAAAAGTCCATTCCCCACCCCTACAATTCTCCCTCTAGCATCACAAAACGGAAAAATGAGAAGATGAAACATCGTCAACTTACCAGCACACAACGTGATATAATGTCAGCAAAGTGTGATAATGATTTAACAGGATACTTGCCACCAAGAGCTGGATCAACCATTCTCGACAAAGCATCAATATCATGAAGCTGAGGGATTGCCCATCTCACCAGAAACTGCTCTCCTCGAGTCCGCGACCTAAACGACAAATGTGTGAACGAATAAGAACACACACATATATTAACTAAAGAAAAAATCACAATCCATTACTTGTCGTATGACATTCTTCCCGTTAAGAGTTCCAGCATCACCACTCCAAAACTGTATACATCACTCTTAGTAGTGTATACTCCTGACTCAAACTCAGGGGCACCATAACCATATGTCGTGAGAAGCTGTCCTGACAACTGAGTAACACAGGAAAGTATTTTTTAGCATCATAATGCGCTTTTAAAATCTATGCTGGCTTCATTAAACATAGTGACAGATAGTTCACTAAAACATCTCAGAACCAAAGCTTCAAAGAAGTGAAAAAGACATAAGCAATTGCTATTCTTACCTGGCTAACAGCTCCGGACAAAATCAAAGGAGCTAGACCACAATCAGAAACAAGGACAGCAAGTTCATCATCGAGGAGAACATTTGCAGATTTGAAATTTCGGTGGATTATGGGTGGTTCACAGATCTCATGCAGATACCTTACAGAAACAGTTTTCACTGAGTTGAAGAAACTTGATATCCACATATCAAAGCATCATAAAAATTCTAGGTTTTAACATAAGCCATAGATAACTAAAGAGAAATTTCTAAACATTGTAGCGGTATACACCGAACTACAGCACAGACAAACAAAATTGAAAAATACACACATCTGAAAATTCGTTTCTACAGCTGCTTCATCAAATATATCATTTCCAGTTCAGGCATGTGTTTTCCCGTCTAGAGTATCAAGAAGTTGAATACGTATGAGTTTATAAGTAATAAGAGGTCAATATTATAGACAATAGTCACTGGTTCAGACAGAGATAGGTAGTATTAACTATTATTTATAACATATCATTAAAAAATACAATGTTTGAAACATAATTGCATAGATAAAACTTACTCTAATGCTCTTGCAGCTCCAAGTGCCATCCTGATGCGAATATTCCATGACAGATTTCTCTTGAATTCATAATCCGTGTGAAGGGCTTCCTGTAGTGTCCCATTAGTGCAGTACTCATACACAAGAAGCCTCTGCCCGTGCTCCGAGCAGTAACCCATGAGCTTTACCACATTCGCATGACGAATCTTATCAAGACCGTCAATCAGCTCCATAAACTGCTCGTCCTTGAGTTGGTTTGCCACTCTCTTGTCCAGCTTCTTGACCGCAAGCAACTACACGGAGATGGCAAAAATCAAAAAATGTAAGAAAAAATTATAAAAGTTGAGAAATTAGACTTACTCAAAAAATCATACCTGTCCGTGAGGAAGCTCCGCTCGATACACGTTCCCGAGCATTCCACCCCCGACAAGATTGTCCTGTGAAAAGCTGTTGGTATACTGCTGAAGATATGCTATGGAGTAAGCCTTGACAAAAGTTTTCGTTCTGCTGCTTGCGGCTGTTACAATTGGAGTATGAGGTGGCGGTGGTGGTGTCGGAGGTGGTGGTGGTGGCGGTGGCGGTGGCGGTGGCGGTGGCGGCAGCATGCTGTCAATGTCAAAACGGCTGATGTCAAGTTCGTAAGGATTCCTTCGTTTTTCTGGTGGCGGTGGAGCTGCTTCACTTGTCTGTTGTTTTCTTACATCTTCTGTTTGAGGTTTAGGTATTGAGCTGGCTACTGCTCTTTGCTGGTTTTCTTCCTTCGTTCGGGCAACACCCACTGGGACAGCTGAAAAAAAAAAAAAGTTCAAAATAAATAACAAATCACTTGTCTTGCATTTGTTAGAAAGAATTACCTTTGTCTTGGTGAGGGTTGGGTAGGACCAAAGGAGCAGTGTTGTCTCTAGGATGATTTTCCCTGTAGGGTGCAATCTCGTGCCTCTTTGGGGCTCTGCTGTTGTATGCTTCCCTTGTTTTCCTGAGACATGGCGGCAGGAAGAGTAGAATGGCGAGGATGAGTATTACAAAAGACAGCACAGCTGCAATGCTTATCCACACAATCTTTCTCCTTCTCGAGGACCTTCCTGAGTTTGATTCCTCTCCTTCTGCCGGGGTGGCTGACGACGGCCCGTATGCTGGCCTAGGGGGATGCCGACGGCCCGGTGCGGCAGGTCTTTGGTCCGAGCTTGGTGAAGGGAAAAACGGCTCAATCGGTGATTGTGGTCCCGGTTCGGATGGTGATGGGACAATGCTCGAGTTCAATGGATTCCCCTCACTCCTGCTCCTCACAATGGCCAATTAACAATAAAAAACTATATTCCCTTGACATTTATTCTATAAAAACCCTAACTTAATCTATGTTTTTTTTTTTTTTTCAAGAATTTTAATATGTAGAAATGGCGGAACTACCAAATAATTACAATTCCTTGTAAACCATGTTGAGAATGTGATACCAAACCCTTAAATGATTTATGTTACACTAAATCATTTCCACGAAATTCGTAATTTTTGCTGACATTCTTTTGCAAACACTCTCGGAGAACTAGTTGGATAATTCTACTTGTATATTATAATTTGTACACTGAGGTGCACATACTCGCACATGGGTTAGCACTCAGAGTCTCATTTTTATTGTTGTGGACTGAAATATTAACAATAACTATCATAATTTCTGCAACATTCATGTAAGATGATACCAGCTGACAACAAATTACTAAAAATGACCTGAATATATTTTGCCAAAAATGAAAAATGAACTAGGAACAATGTTACATGTGCCACGCTCATATCAGCTACAGTAAATATCAGCAAGTTCATATTGGGGAAAAGAAAGAAAGGTGGACAAAAAAAAAAAAAAAAAAAAAAAAAAATTGAGCACTTCATCCTACCTGAAGTTGGGTATGCTCAACAACTTTGGAGGTACTGGTCCAGAAAATAGGTTGTTCTGTATATCTCTGGGAGATGGAAAAAAATAGTCATGTAAATACAGTACCTGACAAAGCATGGGATATAAATCAGGATATCTTAAGGCCAAGAATCGTACAGATCTTGAAGAGGAAGATCTTGTAACACATCGAGAGTTCCAGATAGCTGGTTATTCTGCAAATGACTGTACACGTAAACATAAGTTGCCATTATATTTATAATAAAAAAAACACATATTAACTAATGGAAAGCGCAGTAATACACTCACAGAGTAGCAAGAGACGACAAGCTTCTGGTAGAAGGTGGCAACTGTCCGCTCAAACTGTTATTCGACAAGTCTCTGCAAAGACCATAAATGTTAGTTAAACTTAAAAGAATTATATGCGATTGTTGCAACTAAACATGCTTCGGTATCAGACTCATACAAGTTAACCAAATCTGGAAGGGACTCAAAAGCATCAGGAATTTCTCCAGTTAACTCGTTGTTGTTAAGGGACCTGAAGTTCATAGTCAATTGTTGAGATAATAAACAAATCACAATACAACAACCAAAACCCATGTACCACTCAAAGTGCTCTTTGTAAATGAACCTACATGGCTTGTAACTGAGTTAGAGACGAAAGAGAAGTAGGTATACTTCCAGTCAGCTTGTTATCTGAAAGAAAACTGCCAAAGGTAAAGAAAGACTATCACATGTCCAAGTTCAGAAGGAATCATGAATAAGAAAGGCCCAAGTGAACCAATATAGAAGACTTGTCCTTTTCATTTAAAACAAATGATAGGAAAACATACATGTTGACCAATGAAGCCGGCAACGCGGATGGAATGCTACCATTGATAAAGTTATTATTGAGCGTTCTGCAAATAGATTAAAACACAGTTGTTACTTTGACTGTCCTGTGATTACACATTGTAATGAATAACGACTAAAACCCAATGCTTGTAAGGGACTGACATGGACTTGATAGAAGAAAATTTCGCGAGACTGTCTCCCAACTCACCGCCCAAATTAGCCGCAATCAGTGTTCTGCAAATTTAAACATAATGATGAATTATCGGTTCATTATGAAATTTAAAGTCCCATGACGGATTTCTTTTTTTTTTTTTTATATATTATTATTAAATTTTGAGAAAAGGCCACATACATTGAGCTTATGGAGGAGGCATCACACTCGACACCTTGCCAAAGTTCAGCACAAGGGTCTCCACCACTGCTAACCCACCCAGGTAGAGTAGGTGATCCCAATGAAAGGTATAACCCATTTATAGCATTAACTAGTCCAGCAAATGGCAAAACAGATATGTTAATGTGGTGAGGATTATCACTAGTTTTGTCAAATAGACACTACAAACATATTAATTAGATCAGTAATAGTTTTCCCCTTCATCCTAATACAGCTCGTCTAGAAAGATTGTTGAATAAACAAAAATGAAGTTTCCAGAAAAAAAGAGTCATACATACGGCCGAACTAATTGACCTCCTGAAAAAGATAAATGTATGTACACCTTGTGAGATAACAACTCACAGCCACATTATTAGTGTAATGTCAGCACTTTTGTGAAAAATAAAATTACTATTTCAAATGTAAACCGTGAGAGAGCAACGTAAATAAGTTTTACCATCACCAGGAATGGTGTATCCCTGGGAAATTCTGGCTGTGTAAATTAAGGCAAAAAACAACAGGATCTCCAAACTGAAGCAAGTCCCTACAGATCTAATGTAAACCATTCTTTTCAATCCAACTCTTTTTCTGGATTATAGAAACTCCGCATAGCCAGTGCATAAATCTGCGAAAAAATGAAAGTAAAACAGAGACTCAGAATCGGAGAAATAATCAATAATTGTGTTTTCACAAATGTAGCTTCCTATATCAAAAATAGTACATGAAATCGAGAAGAAACCATACTTAAGCTCTCTGCTTCTAATAAATATATATCATGAAGAGAAACACTGGAGAGTTGCAGAGATTAAGAGGAATCATGAGAAAATGATGGGATGAGATCCCAAACATGTAAAAAACAAAAAAAAAAAAAAGCATTTATTCCTAATTGACTTCCGACAAGCCAAATGATACCGTGGTAGTTAAGCCATTAAAACAAGTTCGGATCAACAAATAAAATTCTTACCAGAAATTACTGCAGTGGGTACTGAAGAAGTTGAAGTATCAGTGGCTGAAGAATTGCCAATTTTTTGTCTTGAGAATAAACCCGCAAAAAAGAAAGGATTCTGCTAAAAAGTGAGTGAGAGAGAGATAGGGCAGACCTTAGCTGGAACGAGAAAACAAGAGCTCGAAAGTTGCAGAGAGAGAGAGAAACCGATATGAAACTCTTTTTATTCACTTTTTCCCTCTTTCTCTCTCCTCGCTTTCCATGTAAAAAAAAGTTTCATTAGTGGAAGTCGTATGCAGCTAATCTTCTCTGCATATTTTCACATACAACGCGCGTACACAAGAGCGTGGCGTGCAGTTATTATTACACTGGCACAACAAGTACATTATATGTGCCCCTCGCCTCGTGGACGTGGTTAACGGTTACTTTTGGAAAGTGAGGAGGCAGCACAGGTGGTAAGTCAGGCGCGTGTGTACCGTGCCAGTTGGTTTTTGGAATCCTACGGGACAATTATGAGTAAAAACATAGCCGCCACAGTTATAGAAGTTAGAAATATGGATCTGCGGGATAAAATGGAAATTTGTTGATGGGAAAAGCTATACAGCCTAAAGCCTACGCAAAGATCATTTTGCTCTGATTTTCTGTGGCCGTGCAGTGTTTTTTATTTTATTAAAGACGAGTACAACACCCTCATTACATAATTAGAAAAATCATAAAATATTTATTTTTACCCGATTTTAAGGCAATATTACCTCTTATTTTTTTAATGTCATCTTGACTTTATTAACAATTAACCAAATAAATGACATTTTGGATCTTTTGTACATATTTTTTAATTATTACCCTCATCTAGCTAATAAATACACTACGTCTTTTCATATTCACTATTCATATTTTCTCAAACCATTCATCTTTATCCTCCTTAATGAGGGTTATTAATGACAAAAAAAAATTTTCCTCAAAACATCCATCTCTATCCTCATTAATGAGGAGTTGTTATTGAAAAAAAAAATCTTAATTACTGTACAACTTCTCAAAACGACACTTATTAAAACTAGGAGGGAGTATAAATTTTAGATACCACCAAATAAAAAGTTAACTTTTTCATCTCATAAAGTGCGAAATAAATTATACGATAAGTATGCAACAAACAAAGAATGATATTTGATAAAGTGCGAAACAATTATACGATAAGCTCGACATACAGACGAATATAATTGATAAAATGCAAATCAATTATGCAACAAACAGACGAACATAATTGATAAAGTGTGAAACAATTATGCGATAAACTATGCGACACACAGAAAATAATTGATAAAGTGCGAATTATTTATGCGACAAACAGATGAACATAATGATAAAGTGCGAAACATTATACGAAAAGTTATGCGACAGACAAGCGAAGATAATTGATGAAGTATGATGTGATAAACTATGCAGCAAGCAAACAAACATAATTGATAAAGTGCGATATGCGACTGACAGACGAAGATAATTGATGCCTAAAGTTATGAGACAAACAGGAGAAGATATTTGAAAAAGTGTGAAAACATTATGCGAAAACATATTGACAGACCGGCGAAGAAGATTAATAAAGCGAATTCCCTCACTTCGGTTCGGTCAGTCAGACTCGTAGCAGCTAATCCCCTTCTCTTCGTAACAGTAGCTTCGCAGCCGGTGTAGCTAAACAACTCTTGGCCCTAGCGGCCTTGAGCGTCTTTCTCTTACGCTTTCTCAACATTCTTCCCCTCCTCTTCATCCGGATTGTGAAGATGTAGCGATACAGTGCTAGGAGGGTGCGATGGAAGCAAAAGAAGCGGATGGAGTCTCGTTCTTGGAAGGAGATTCCTGCTGATCCATTCGTAATAGTGGTTGGACATTGAATACACCAAGCTTGTATTCATTCAGTAATTCTACCCCTTCTTCATTCTTGGACCTTGTTCCTACATGACCCGATCAATTCCTAAAGCAATTTAATTCACACTGGGGAAAAGATTCAAAAAAGATGTTAGTGTGATAGCTTGGAGGCTTTAGCCTATATTATTTATAGCATAGCTCAACGAAGCGGGTTGGAGACACCTCAGCTCAACTTACAATACAAGTAAAGGGCGATCCTGAAAACCATACCCGAATCCAGCCTTCTTTGAAACTGATAGTACAGTACGCTGAGACTGGATGAAGGCACTGAAAGTGAAAGGACGAATCTAAAGTCAAGGATTGCATTTCGCAATAGAATCTAACGGATTCAAGAGCGTCTGTGAAAAAGAAAAAGCCCAGACCGATTCAGTAGACGGTGTAGCTAAAGCTTCGGTGTAGCTACTGAAACCCATACCTACTGTTTAAAACCCTTGCCTTAGCGCGTTACAACTTCGGTTTGTTCCGTAACTTCAGTCCTCAGTGCTAAAACCCAAGCTTCGATCGCTCAGTCAGCTTCGGAAATATTTATGCGTGAAGATATACGACAGACAGGCGAAGATAATTGATAAAATTTGAAATAGTTATGCGAAAGCTATGCAACAGATAGCCGAAAATAATTGATAAAGTGTGAAATATTTATGCGAAGAGCTAGGGGACATGCAGGAGAAGATAATTGATAAAGTGCGAAAACATTATGTAAAAATCTATGCGACTGATAGGCGAACATAATTGATAAAGTGCGAAATGTTTGTGCAAAAATATATGCGACAGACAGACGATAATTGATAAAGTGCGAAATAGTTATACGAAATGCTATGCGACACGTAGGCAAAGATAATTGATAAAGTTGGAAATATTTATATAATAAACTATGCGACAAACAGGAGGAGATAATTAATAAAGTGAGAAATAGTCATGCGATAAACTATGCGATAAACAGACGAATAAAATTTATAAAGTGCTAAACAATTATGTGATAAGTTATGCGACAAACAGACGAAGATAATTGATAAAGTGTGAAATAGTTATGCAATAACATATACGACGTTTTTCTTTTTTCTTTTTAGTCTCAGTTCTCATGCCGTTGCCTCTTCCCGGGGTTGCTCCGGCCAGCTTTCCGGCCAACCCTCCACCTCCGGCCTCTATGTCCATCTCGGATTTGGACAATCTTTTCTCCATCTCCAGCTTCTGTGAGGCCTTTTTAGCTTCTTCCCATACGGCCCATGTTAGCCCGGTTATGGCTTCTAGCTCGGCGACGTCCGTCCGCCTTGATAGTGCATCAACCACGGCATTTTGTCGGCCCAGTCGGTACACTATCTCAAAGTCGAAGACCATGAGCTTCGAGACAAACTTCTGCTGCTCGAGCGTCACAATCCTTTGCTCGAGCAAGTGCTTGAGCGGCTGCTGGTCGGTCACAATCCGAAAGCGCCACCCCAATAAATAGGGCCTCCAGCACCGCACGACCTCTATGACCGCAAGCATCTCCTTCACGTACACGGACAACCCCAGTCTGGTTGTGCCTAGTGTCTTGCTGAGAAAGTCCAAGGGACGTCCTTCCTGTACTAGTACTGCACCAATCCCTATGTCGCTTGCGTCCGTATGTACCTCGAACAAGACATCGAACCCTGGCATTGCTAGCACGGGCGTCGTGGTCATTGTGACCTTAAGCTTCTCGAATGCGATCTCGCTAGCTTCGGTCCACTTGAATCCTCCTTTCTTGGTCATCTCAGTTAATGGCTTGGCAATGATCCCGTAGTCCTTCACAAATTTTCGGTAGTAGCCTGTGAGCCCTAGGAATCCGCACAACTGTGCTAGGCTTGTCGGTTTCGGCCAGTCGACCATAGCCTCAATCTTCCTTGGATCAACTTTTACGCCATCATGAGAGATAAAGTGACCAAGATATTCGACCATCTCTTGCCCAAACGAGCACTTGGATGGCTTGATGTGGAATGAGTTGGCCTCCAAGATTTTGAGTACCACACGTAAATGCCCAATATGCTCGGCCCATGTCTTCGAGTAGACCAGGATGTCGTCAAAAATACTAAGACAAACTTGTGCAGATGGTCTTTGAAGATGGAATTCATGGCAAACTGAAAGGTGGATGGGGCATTGCACAGCCTGAATGGCATCACCAAATACTCGTAATGCCCTTGGTGCGTGCGAAAGGCCGTCTTTGGAATGTCAGCCTTGTGTAGTCGAATCTGATGCTACCCGACCCTAAGGTCGAGTTTAGAGAAGTAGCGTGACCCTCATAACTCATCGAGCATGTCATTGACACTTGGTATGGGAAAGCGGTCCTTGATTGTCGCGGCATTCAGTGCTCGATAGTTAGTGCAGAACCTCCATGTGCCATCTTTCTTCTTTGCTAGTAGTACCGGTGATGAGAACGGGCTTGAGCTATGTTGGATGAGCCCGGACTCAAGCATCTCTCCAACTTTCCTTTCAATCTCTGTCTTCTGAAAGTGTGCATACCGGTATGAATGGACGTGTACGGCATGCTGTTCATTGGTTAAGGGTATACGGTGGTCGAACTCCTGGTGTGGAGGTAAACCATTAAGCTCACCCAGTGGTCGAACTCCTGGTGTGGAGGTAAACCATTAAGCTCACCCAGTACACGACCGAACTCCTCAAGTAGACCGCGTACCTCCTCTTGTTGCTTCTCGGCCTTGGCTATGTGCGCGCTCGTATGCTCGACTACTACGGCGAAGATTTGGCCGCCCCCGCGCCAAACCCGCTCTATGCTTTTAAGACCAACCTCCTTGGTCCCACTACTCTCGCTAGCCTTCAGCATGACCTGTTGCTCTCCTGCTTTGAACTTCATGACCCCAGTTCGGTAGTTGGTGGTCACTTCTCCCAATCCTTCGAGCCATTGGACTCCCAACACCACGTCGGGTCCAACCAAGGGTAGTGCGTAGAGATCGACCTTTATGGTGACTCCTTTGTTAGAGTAGGGTACCCGGCGTTCCAATCTAATTGGACGTATTCTACTTGTAAATACAATCTATTGGAATTATATTATTAATAAGGCATTTCTTTATCTTAAGAGAAAGCATTTATCTTATAATTGCACTTAAGATAAAATCCCTAGATCACATATAGTTATAAGGTATGGTTACGCATAGAGATGGTGATCATGGAACATACCTTGAAAGCTGTAATTTTAAAAACAGTTCCAAGTCGATGGATGTTTCGAGATGGGATATCGAATAATCCATAAAAGACTTGCACATAGTTTGTACGCTTGTTGGATAAGAATGTTGCATTCCATCAACATTAGCGTAAGACGTAAGTACATTTATGTGGGTGCTTGTTAGAGAACAAGTTCACTGAACATGACCGTGTGAAAATTCTTAA